CCTCACTGGCTTGTCCTGGGCTCTGAAGGGCAGCGGCAGGGGGTGGAAATCCCTGTGCAGGGACCCAGGATGGGCTGGAAGTTGGGGAGGTGGTGGCCCTGGCAGCTGCATGTGGGGACTAGCTGTGCCGACTGGCCATGGAGCCAGGGAATTTCCTGCCTGGCCTGTGGCCTCCCTGTTTGCCCAACAAACAGGGCAAACCCTGTCCTGTTTACGCAGTGCCTGCTGTGGGAGGAGGGCCAGCCTTACCTGTCTCTCCCTTCTGTCCTCTGCAGGTTGTTACGCCAAGAACTTTGGTCCCAAGGGCTTTGGCTTCGGGCAGGGCGCCGGGGCGCTCGTCCACTCGCAGTGAGGCACCAGGAGCCGGGCTCTGCGCTCGCTCAGGGCTTGTCCAGACCAGCCTGTGCTGCCAGACCCTTCCCACGCCCTCCATGAGCATCCTCACCGTCATCCAGAGCCACCCGCGGCTTCGCAGCACGAGCCCCCTCCCTCCCCGCCCTGCCCCGGCGCGCCCCAGAGCCAGGGCAGTCCCAGCACTGTCCCCACCGGGTCCTGCCAGGGCGGGGGCTGCTGGGGGGGCTGCTCACCCCCACCTCAGCGAGGCCCTCGGGCCCGAAACGTTCTGCTCCGCGTGTCCCATCCCGGCACGTGTGCTCGTCCTGCCGGGATGTGCGCTCAGCCGCACCGTGCCGCGCCACTGAGCAAGCAATAAACGTCCAGAACATCAAAGCTGACCCGGGCCTGGCCTTGCCAGAGAGTTTATTCCCTGTCTGGGGCTGAGGAGGTGCACTGGGTGGCCAGAGCTGGAGGGTCAGGAGGTGAAGGGAGGAGGGGCAGTGTTGGCACTTGGGGTTTGGCAGGAATGTGTCAGTGCTGAGCTCTGCAGGTCGACTCAGCTGGGCTCTCCCCCTGCTCCCACCGTGGATCATCATACAGTGGTTTGGATTGGAGGAGACATTAAAGCCTGTGTCGGTCCAGCCCTTGCCATGGGCAGGGACACCTTCCACTAGACCAGGTTGCTCCAAGCCCCGTCCAGCCTGACCTTCAACACTTCCAGGGATGGGGATAACTATTCCAAAAGCAGTGGTTGATGCTTGGAGGCCCAGGGCAGCCCTTCTGGGGTGTGTCAGTAGCACAGCATGTGTGCTCACCCTATCAAAACCCCTATCGGTGCTTTTAGGTGGCACCTCTCCAAACAGGAGTGCCCAGCAGTGCCAAATAATTAACAGCTTTTCACCTACTCCCTGGATTTTTAGCAGCTTGGGGATCATTAAGCCTCCAGTTTGGCAACTGCCCAGGTCTAATTCGTTTTCATCTAAACTCTTCACTCCCTTTCTGTGATTCTCTTGTTGGACCGGTGTGACATACCCACAGCTCAGAGTCAGGAACTCCACAGGGAATTTAGTTCTGGGGTTTTTTTAAAGTTACAAACATTGTGGTTGAGCAAATGAGATGGGTAGTGTTCTGAGAAGCACAACAGAGGTAGAAATCCTTTGGTGGGGCAGGACTTGGGCTCCTTTATCAACTTAAGCACTTTCTCCTGTTCATCAGACCCTCGTGTTTTTGAACACCCATGTTTTTGGAGCTGAGGTGGGGAGTAAGCTCTTTACCACCTCCAAAAGTCCCCTCTTCTCCAGTTTTCCCAGCCCTGGGACCAAGAATCTAGTAGGTCTGTTTGCTCTGGGGTGTGTGGTTATGCTTGATGGTAGCATTTGGCACGAGGAGCAGCAGCCCAGGTTCAAGGGATGTGGTGGGGTCGGGAGCTGCAGCACAGAGGGCTCATGTACCACCCTCAGTGTGGGGACAGAGGGTGGTTCCCTCACTTGGCAGAGGCCCTGCTTCCCCGTGGAGGCTTGGGGGGGTCAGGAAGCTGCTGGCGTTCTCTGGGAGCACGTGGGGGATGTTGTGCTGCTGCAGGATCTCAGCTGGATGTGCCACAGAGTGGATCATGCCCAAGCAATGCTGGTTAGTCAATAAAGCCACAAGAAGTCAGTCTTTAGTCCCTTCTGCCCACAGATGTAGAGGTTCTGTCAGAGAAGGGAGGAGTGGGAGCCCCTCTGCTCTGGAGACAGGTTGGGAGAGATAAGATGTGGGTTTTGGACATCCCCTGCCCTGCAGTGGGACAGCTCTGACCATCTGCTACCCTCTGCTGGTCACTGAGCATGGCAGGGCCCCAGCCGGGGGGGTCCAACTCCATTTAGAGGCAGCAGACCTGCGCTGTGTCCAGCAGTTCACACCCCTCGGGGGGCTGCCAGCCTTGGAAAAGGGGCTGTGGGGCCCAAACCTGCCCCCAGAGAGATGAACCAGGGGGTCGGCTCGTGGCCAAGGACCCTGGAGCCTGGTGATGATGACACCACTTAAAGGGTTGGATTGGAGCCTCTGAGCCCCATGGTCGGTGGCCCTTGTGGCAGGGGATGTCACAGCGCCACCGTGCTTTGTGGGGATGTCACCTCAGGGCAGGACTGAGCCCTCTTACCTGCCCCGAGGGCTCTGTGTGGATGGGATGAGCGTGGGGGCCGTGGGCAGCCCACGGAGCAGCCTGGCACAGCGAGTCCTGTGGGCTTTGCTGGAGAGCAGGAGCTGCGAGCTCATCCCCCCAGGCAGCCCAGCAGGATGGGCCTCCTGCCCTGTGGATCTGGGAACAGACAGACAAGGAGAGGGGAGCGGGAAGGACCTTGTCAAAGCTCCTTCACACCCGCAGCTGCGGGCCCATCACCTTCCCTCGGTGGCTGGAGTCCAGAAAGGCAGAGCAGCACAGTAAGCAGCAGAGCTGGCACCTTGGGCAGAGGGTTTGGCAGCCCTTGGCTCCCCCTTGGGCTGTGAGGATGGAGCTTTGAGCTGGGTGCTGAGCCGAAATTGCCCACAGCTCACCAGAGCAGCCCTGGGAGCAACAGTCCCCAAACCACTCACCCCCAAGCTTCCAGGGCTCAGCATCCCCAGAGCTGAGCTTCTTTACCTGTGCGTGGGAAAAACCTTCGGAGGGGAACCCACACATCTGCTGTGCTCCTCCCAGGGGTGCCGGGGTGCTCGGGTGACCTTCGGGGAGGCACTGGCCGCCCTGGCGGTGGGGGTGGCGATGGCCGCAGGGGAGCCGGGGCCGCCTGACGTCAGGAACCCGGGTCTCCTGGGACACCGGGGATCTCTGCCAGCGTGACGAGGTTGGCCCCAGGGAGCACGAACCAGTTCCTGGCTCCGACAGCCGCCCTGCCCTCTTAATGAGGGATAATGAGGTGCATCTCATCACCGCTGCAGACTTGCCCCCTGGCCACGCCAGCTGCAAGCAAAGCCCCCGGGAGGGACCGGGAAGGATGGAGGGGTTGGGGAAGAGGGGCTCCAGCCGGGGGCTCCGCGGGGCTGGGGTCTGCAGGGGCACGGGCAGGGTGATCCGGGAGGTGGGCACTGGGGCAGTGGCTGCGTGCCAGGGAGCCAGGGGCTGATCGGCGGGCTCCTGCCCCGGTCGGTGATCCTGGCACATCCCCGGGGGAATTTTTTCCCATGCCAGACCTCACCTGGGTGAAGGACCCACACCCTCAACATCTGTGGGGGCACATCCCGCCACCCAGCAGGCTGTGACCGTCAGCCCCTCTGGCAACCCACGGCCAGCACCAGTCCCCAGATGTCCCCCCGGCAGCCCGGCACGGCACCTCGGTGCCAGGCGCTGGCACGGGAACAGACGGAGCTGCGGTGTCCGGGAACGAGACGGGCTGGAAAGGAGACTGGTGTTTCGCTGCAGGGGAGGGAGGACTCAGGCGGGACCGGGCTGTGCTGTGCTTTGCTGTCCCGGCCCCGCTCCGACGGCTTATCCCCCCTGCACAGGTCACACGAGGCTGGGGGATGCTGGTCCTCGCTGTGGGACAGCCTAGGGGCTTCAAATCCCTGTCCCAGCAGATTTGGGGCATGGGAGCTCTGTGTGCTGAGGGTGGCCCAGCACCCTTGGATGCGTGGCTGGGTGGTTGGTGGGTGTCAAGGGTTGTTCCCATTGCTACTGTCTCTGCTTTTGACTCTCCTCTTGGGCTGCACTCAGTGGTCCCCATAGCCCCTGCCTGGCTGGTGCTGCACCCACAGCCCCCTGTCCCAGCTGGCACTACACCACATAACCCCCTGGCCTGGCTGGAAGTGCAGCTCATAACCCTGTGCTCTGGCTGGCACTGAGCCCCATAGCCCCCAGCCCCTGCTGGCACTGCACCCCCTAACCCCTTTGCCCTGGCACTGCACCCCTTGTGCCTTCTTGGCTGGCACTGAACCCCACAGCCCCCCAGCCCTGATGGCACTGCACTCTGTACCCCCTTCCTGGCTGGCATTTTATTCAGGGTCCCCTGCCCAGCTGGTACTGCACTCCACAGCCCACTGTGCCCACTGGCACTGCACCCTATAGCCCTATGCAGCTGGTGCTGCACCCCAACAGCTGGTGCTGCACCCCCAACAGCTGGTGCTGAACCCCATCTGGCCTTGCACTCCACGCCTGGGCTGCCGTGCAGAAGTCCCTGAGCCCTGCCCTTGCGCCGCTGCCGTGCAGACCCATCCCACACCCTGCCTGTTCACACGAGGGCCCTGGGGCAGCGCCTGCTCGCGGGCACCCCAAAAGCACCTCCTGGGTGAAGCGGGGCTGTGCCGGGCCTGGCCGGGCTTCGCCTGGGCGTGAAGGGAGCCTGAGCGCAGGAGGGGCCAGGCGAGGCGGGAGGAATGCGAGTGGGAGAGCGGCCGGGCATGTAGCGACAGCTCCTGGGGCGCGCTGCGCCGGGATCCCACACGCTGCGCGGGGCAGGGAGCAGAGCCCCGGCACCAGGGCTGGGGTCGGCATGGGGCACCCCTCCGCTCATCCCCTCTGAGAGCCGGCAGCGCAGGGCGGGGAGAACCCCGGGGGGGTAGCACAGCCACCGCGGGGGTCCCGGCCCCACCGAGCTCAGCTCTGACGTGGAGGGGCTGGGAATCCCCCAGCGGGTGATGCCCGGCTGAGCCCACACGAGGTGCGGAGGTTCCCTGGGGGCCGAGGGGCCGCTATGACCCCCGAGAAGGTGCTGAGGGAGGGGGTGCTGGAGAAGCGGAGCGGGGGGCTGCTGCAGCTCTGGAAGAAGAAGCGGTGCCTGCTGACGGAGAAGGGGCTGCAGCTCTTCGAGCCCAAGGGCTCGCGGCGCAAGGAGCTGAGCTTCGCCCGCATGAAGGCGGTGGAGTGCGTGGAGTGGAAGGAGCGGCACATCTACTTCACGGTGGTGATGGACGACAGCCACGAGATCGACTTCCGCTGCGCCCAGGAGGACCCGGGCTGGAACGCCGAGATCACCATGGGCCTCGTCCGCTTCAAGAACCAGCAGGCGATCCAGGTCGTCCGCGCCCGGCACAGCTGCCGAGCAGGTACCGGATCCGCCGCTGCACCGCGGGTCGGGGTGCAGGACACGCCGGGGGAGGAGGTCCCCGGCCACCAGATCCCGTGTCCGAGGGGTTCGGCTCCCCCAGGGGAACCACAGAGGTCCCGTGGATTGGGGTGGTCTGCAAGGGTGGTGGTCCCCTGCCCCCTGCACTGGCTGGGACGCCCCCATAGGTTTTTATCCCCCACACCCTTGGAGAGGGACTTTTCCATCACCCTCCCTCCGTCTGGGGTGACCTGAAGGTTATGGGGCCCTTTGCCATCTTGCACGTGGGATGGGGTGGGGGTGGTGGCTGGCTCTGCTCCCCGGTCCCCTCGGGGCTGGGCCCTGCCCCGTGTCCCAGCACTGGCCAGGTTGGTGACAGGCGCCTTCTCTCTGCAGTGGCGCAGTTCGACACAGCCCCGGTGGGACAGCCCATGGACACGCAGCACCCGAGGAGTCGGATGGAGATGGCTCTCGGCTCGGCACGAGGTGGGGAGAACGGGATCCCAGCGGGCAAGTGAGGCCACTGCTGTGCAGCCCAAGGACAAGGACGGTGGCTCCGGTGAGGCCAGTGCAGGCACTGCCCCCTCCCCACCTCCATGGTAGGAGGTGACATCCATGACCAGGGGCTCACCACCCTTCAGCTGACATGTGCAGGACCTGGTGCACTGGTGGGGACACCTGGACCTCTCCTGCAGGACAGGGGATGGATGAGGCTGTGCCCGAAGAAAGCAGTGGAATGGGGAGCTCTGCCTGTGTGACAGTGACACTGGGACAGATGGATGTGGTTGGGGACACAGCTCCCCCTGAGCCCCCATGTTGAGAAGGGGCTGGATAGCTGCTGCTGCACAGGGACCCTTCAAGGCGCTGAAATGATGGTGCGGTGACACTGCCGTGCTGCTGGACATTGTCCTACCCTGGGATGTCCTTGAGCTGATAGGGAACACTGGGAGGGCACTGGGGATCCCCATTCCTTGTACCAAAAGCGTCCCCAAACAGGACTTTCTGCTTCTTACCCTGGTGTTGCTTTGATTTGCGGGACCCTGCAGGGTACAGGAGAGCACAAATCCTGCACAGAGCTTTGCTGGTTTTTGGCACCCCCCTAAACCAGCATCCCACAGTCGGGCTCCAAAGCCCCCCCCCCCACTGCTGCCCCGAGCCCTCTCTGGTCACCCATCCCACTGCTCCCGTGTCCCCAGGGATTCCCACGGTGGTTTGCGGGCAGGCGACGCGGGAGCAGCGCTCCGGCTGTGCAGGCAGGGGAAGGGACGGCCCTGCCCCGACAGGCAGCGCAGACACCGGCGCCTGGAGCCACCGAGCTCCGCAAGCCGGAGCCTGAGCCCCAGCCCCGCGGCCGCGGGCGCTGCGGATCCTGCCGGAGGTTGCCCGGCCGCGTGGGAACCGAGGAGAGCAGTGCCCCTGTCCCCGCGGGCTTGGGCTGCTGGTCCCAGCCTGCACACCAGCCCCCTCTGCCAGACCCCACGGGGCCCACGGGGTCCTGTCCCCGCGCCAGGGCAGCGCCAAGGTGGCTTCAGGGAGGGATGGTGGCGTGGCTGGAGCCTGCTCGCCGTGCAGGGCCAGGCTAGCTCAGTGCTTTAACAGGCATCTGGGTGTTTTTCCACCCAAGGAAGCCTTCTTGGCCACCTGGTCCTCAGAGCTGTATTTTCTGAGAGCCTGCTGACTTGTGAGTAAAGTTGAGGGGGGGCACACAGATGAAACTGGACCCAAACTCAGCGCAGGTGGAGCTTTGCACCACCCCAGTGCTGTGGCAGGAACATGGTGGGCTCCAGGGATGGGGGGACCTGGTCCCCCACCCGCAGGAGATGTTCTAGGTGTGGAGCCCTGTGTGGGCCAGCCCCCAAAACAGGTCCCCACACACCTTTTGGATGAAAATGAGACTGTCAGGAAGGTGCTGGTGCTCACACAGCATTTCCATGGCAAGGATCTCTGTCCTGTGGTTTCTCTTAAATCTCCAGCTCCCTGAGTCAGGGCATTCAGAGAGGCTCATTCAAAGCCCTGTGTGCATCCCAAGCCTGTGCTGGGGAGGGCACCAGTGGGGGGGAGTACCCAGTGCAAGGGGAGTTTCCAAAGTTGCCAGTTTTGGGCAGTGTGACTCCCTAATTTTGGCTTTTCTGCTCTCTTGCTCCCCGTAAACAGCTATTTTCTGTTTTCCAACTGCCAGCAACAAACTGGGGGCGGGGGGGAGAAAATGGTCAAGATGTGTGTGGGTGTAAGTTCCTTGTGTGCAGACACCCACATCTGCCCAATCCACCCTCTCTGGGCAGATTCCTGACCCTGGGAGCTGGGGCCAGGGGGTGAGGTCAGAGCCAGCGGCCGTGCGGGTGGGAGGCGGGACGGCTTCACCCGCCGCCTGCGAGGGCTGAGTTTCTCACGCAGAGGAAAAGGTCACCCAGAGACTGAAAAACAAATAAACAGCCAAGCGACTCGGCCAGGGAGCAGAGCAGGGACGGGGCCGGCGGCTGGTGCATCCCCCAGCACCAGGGATGTTGTGCCAGCACACTCCCAGCCAGCCTGAACAGCAGGGAGAGGACCACGGGCAGTGTTTCCAATGCCCCCAGAGGAGGGGAAGCTGAGGCAAAACGCGGGGTTGGTGGGTATGTGGCCTTGCAGCCCCTCCAGCACATGGACTCCTTCTTCAGTAAAGGGCTGGCCAGGGTACCCCAGTGCCAGGGCCCCCAAGAAGAGCTGGGGCTCAGTGCAGAGCCCCAAAATGCAGCGAGGTGCCCCGGAGCTGCGGGAGTTCAAAGGCAGGAGCCTGAAAATCCGGCTTTTCTGCTCCCAGCCCCGCGGTGCCCCCTCTCCATCGGCCCTCCCTGCGCTGCTCCGAGGATACCCCGATGCTGGGGCTGCTCTGCCCGGGCTGGGGGCTCCCCTGTGCCTCTGCCCAGGGCAGGGGCTCTGCCAGCACCCAGCGGGGCAGGGACTGGCACCCTCCTTGCAGCACCGCGGGGGTGCGGTAAGTGCAGGGGAGGGGGGAAGGAGGAGCTTCAGAGCCCTTTTTTTTTTTTTTCCCGATGAAATCCAAGCTCTGGATTTGGGGTCAGATTTTGGGGCTGGCTGGACCCCCTCCCAAGTGCCAGGGAGGGTAGTGGGGGTGATGGTGCCAGTGATTTTGGCAGGTGAGACCAAATGTACCTCCTCCACCACCGTGTGCCCTGTGGAGAGGCTGCTACTGCCTCACTTCTCCTGTGACCATCTCTGACTTTGTAGGTTGACTCTCCTCAGATAAAAGTGAAAAGGAAAAGAAATCACAGCCGTAGCAAGCAGTGTTCTGGTTTTTTAGCTTTGGGTCACACGTCCGACTTCCTTCAGATGCTCCTAAAATTATTTCATTGTTGACCATCCTCAATTACAGTTCCTAAATCACTGGATTTGGGTTTGGAAGCCAACACCTGCCCACAGCCAGGCTGCAGAGCTTCCCAGAGCCCTGTGATGTCTGTGAGCCCATGCTCCAGGGGAGCAGAGGGCCAGGATGTCCACACCACTGCTGGGGGGGTCTTGGCCACCTCCACTAAAGCCCTCTTGGATTTGGGTGTAGGAAGAAATGCTGTCATCAAAACACAGGAGCTTGGGATGCTGAGGGGGGTCCAGGCAGGGATTGCAGGGATTGCAGTGGGGGTTCCACAGTGTCCTGGTGGTGTGTCCTGGAGGGGGTGTCCCAAGGAGGTAGAGGAGCGTGGTTGTGAACACCATGCACGTGCACCTTCCATCTCCACGGCTGTCCCCACTGCCTGCTCTGCTTTGGTGCCTCGGGGCATTGCCCAGGTCTGGTGGGACTCACTCACAGATGCAGAGGAGTGAGGGAATCCTTCCCAGGGCTGCAGAAAGCATCAGCTGCTGGAGGAACATTCCAAAGGTTTTCACCCCTGCTGTCACCAATCCATGGAGCAGGTGGGACTGGCTGGATCCTTCCAGCAGCTCGTGAGGGGTGAGAGCTGCCAGATGATCTGCAGGAGGAACACCCAGATGGGACCATTCATCAGGACCAGTCCCACGGACCCTCAAGATTTCACTGCAATGTGACCCTGCCAGCCTTGCAGCCGCCTTGCTGGGAGGAGGTGACCTCAATGTCCCCTTGTCTCTGAGCTGTGTCACAGAGGGAAAACCTTCTCCTACCCCCATGGTGAGTCTGTGGGGCATCCTCTGTCCCTGAGGCAGCCGGTGGTCCCCTGCCCTCTGCCCGGCACTGGGGGCTGGCTCTGAGAGTGGCAGCTGAGGGTTGGGATGGACTTGTTTGGAAGGTGGGTCCCAAAGGACACCAGAGGCTCAGCTGTTGTTTCTAAGTCTGGGATGCCCTGGGGATTGTGTGAATTCCACCAGGGTTGACAAAACCAGGACGGTGCTTGGAAGAGGGCAAGGACGGGATGGGTGGGAAAGACTCCAGAGGAGGGAAAGAGATCGCTGCAAGTCCATTTCTTCAGGCAGATTGCCTTCATGTGGGACAACTAAACTGCTCACAGGGGTCAGATACCTTTGAATTTGGGGTCCCAAGACCCTGAGGAGCTAGGGGCCATTGTGGTTCTCCCAAAGTCAGAGGGCAGATGTGGAAGCCCCTGCCACGTTTGTGAGGCTGATGTCCAATGAACGACGAGGAAGCACCAACAGCCTCCAGGGACTTGGAATGTCCAGAGAGGGAAACTGCCCCATCCATCTAAACACATGCCAGGGGGGCCACTCCTAAGAGACCAAACACAGGTGACCTGTAGGTCATGGGGACATTTAGGGACAAACAGCTGTCCCTGGGGACTTGGTCCTGGGTGGGTCTGACCTCCCCATACAGCTCTCTGGGAATTTTCTGTTGACATCCATCCCCTCTGTGGCAGCCCATGGGGACCCTTCACTTCAATCAGTGGCTCTCAGTAACAGGGATATTACTTTGCTTTGAATTTGGCCTCAGCACTGCTCTGCCCTGATAGGTCCTGATCCTTCACACCCCCCAGAAGCTCAGAGTGATGCCCAACCTCAGGTGGTACCTGATAAAACAGCCCCCTCACCTTGAGGCAGCTCACTGTGGTTTGTGAGCTGCGCTTGGAGATGCAGACCTGAAACATCCCCATCATGTCAGCCGGGCAGGAGGGATGGAAGATCCCAGGCTGCTGCCACTTCCCCTGCTGCAACCCCCCCACGGCAGTGCTGGAGCTCTGAAACCCATGGGGAAGCCCCAAATCGAGGGGTCTCACTACCCCACCCCTTGCCTGCCCTTTCCTCCTCCTCAATCCGGGTCCCAGCACAGGGTGAAACCTGAGCCTGGAGCAAACGGCATCTGAAGCAGCCCCCACCCCATCCCCGGGCAGTGGGAGCTGTGGGAATGCAGCGCCTTTGTCACAGGCTAATTTTGGCTCCTCTGTGCTCCGAAAACAATCCCAAGGCAGCTGGGAGGAAAGATGCTGGAGGCCTGGCCCCGCGGGGCTTTTGCCTTATAAAGGTCTAACGGGGTGGTTTAAACCCTCCCCCTCTTCCGCGGATCTGCTGCACCGGCTCTTGGAGCCAGGGGAGGGGA